AAGGAGAGGATTAGTCAGTCAAGAAGCAAATTGGAGATGAAGAGCACTGCCCTCTTTATTTCTTTGCCCTTTACCTTTTGTGCCTTTATGCATTTGTTAAACGTGTCGCCTCTGTAGCTACTGCAGTAAGATGACACATTATGCACAAGATACAGCCTTACTAGGAGCACTACTGTTGATTTTAATTCATCAAATCCAAGTGGGACCCACTTACCACCCTGCTAGTCCTAAGCTTTCTTCATGATGAAAAAAAAGGCAAGAGTTGGAATAAAAAAAAAAAGTGTAGCTGTGCACCTAACAGTGCTCCAGAAGAAGTTTTCAAACTAGCAAATCAACAATTAATATTTAAAGAAGAAATAAAAGCCAGGTCAGCAGAAGACATGCTCTCAAAGTCATCATAAAAACAATTTTTATTGACTCCTTCATTTTGTCAAACCATTTTTATGGACTTTTATTGCTGGATACCTTTAGTTGCCCACACAGGAGCATCATTTCAAAAATCTTTAAAAAAATAAAATAAAATTTCAAACACCAATGAATATTTTATCAGCGTTCATTAAGAACTAAACAACAATGATGAGGCCAATACAAGTCCATGAAACTCGGAACTGGTCCTGGGAGCCAGGAAAATGCCATAGGGGCTTTATAAAAGTAACAGAGCTGTTTATTATTATTGCAAGCGTGCTGAGGCTGAGCAGAAGTTACCGCGGTCATAAACCGAAATGTGCTGAATCCACCTCATTCCCTTGCATCCAAAATGGTTAGGTTAAAAAAAAAAGTGATTGCTTCAGCTTCAATTTTTCTTTCAGCTGTCAACATATCATGAGAGGCAACACCAAACCTTCTGTGTCACACATTATTTTTTGTTGTGTGGTAACACGCGCAATGCAACCCAGTGTGAACCAAGCAGGGGAAGGAAACATACCACCTTGGACCACTGAAAACTAAGAACATTTGGAAAAGTTACAGTTTAAGAAACCACAATTGTCAGGGGGAAAAATCCAACACAATTTCTTTTAAAGACGTGTTGTAAGTACTGTGTATTACCTAGGAAATGAAAAGAAGGGTGAGGGTCACATTCTGTTTTCACAGTGGTATAAATGCAATGTAACTCAGCCATGTCACCAATGTAATGGAGATCAGAAACTGGCTGTGAGCCCGTGGGCTCTGTCACCAGCCCAGGAAGGATCAATGCCATGTCTGAGTCCATTTCAGGCCCTTGCCTCATGGATTAAACAGAAAACTTAGCTATGATGTAGGTTCTCTGCCCAATGTGAGCTGAAGTTCCCAGAGGCTTTTCCCTCACCTCTCTCAGCCCTTTTGTCCTGATTCTGGGATATCTACAGCAGCCGTTCTGCTCCCTCCAGTTCTTACTCCCCAGTCTGCCTGCCTGGGAGTCGCTTACTAATTGGGTTCCTTCCTTTCATCCATGGACTTTCACAGGAGTCTTCTTGTTCCCTGGACCTATCACTACCCAGGCCACCCTCTTGGGAGTCCCATAGTAACTTGGTGCTTTCCCTGGATCCAAAGACTTCTGCAGGAGCCTTCCGGCTCCCTACAGTTCTCCAGCTCAACTGAGCTCTTGACAGCTTTTATGAGGACCAAGTGCTCTTCAGGCTATCACCTAATCCCTAGCCCCACAGCCTCAGATGGGAAGCAACTGATTAACTAGAGGTTGTGTTGGGCCTGTCTCCCCTTAAAGGGCCAGCCACCCTGTGACACTGGTCCCAAGTGTCTATGCCACTTAAGTGTTGCTGACAATTTAGGAATAGAGAATTATAATCTAGAGTTGCAATATCTTCCTGTTTAAGATTTTTTTTTAAATGCCCACTTACTGCTGATTAAATATTGCTCAACAACAGTAACACAGGAGACACTTTTTGAAATCTAAATTGCTTTGTTTCGATTTGTAACTCTTTAAAATGTCATGCCATTGCAAGTTAAATTCATGTTACTGGGATGCTTGGCTGCACCCTTCTGAGGTCTTTATCTTACAGTGGCTGGGAGTGAGCATTCATGCTGCTGTTCTGTAGTTGTCATTGGTCACTGTAGGACGTTTTAAATTATTCTTTTCCCCCCCTTTATTGGAGGGAGGAGGGGCTACAGTCTTATGCTTCTCTTTTTCCCCTCCCTCCATACACATCATGTTTTCATAATCTTCTGAGATTCGGACTCCTTCAGCCTCTCTGTGATTGAGATACTTGGGGCCACCGGCACCAACTTTCCTTGGCGCTGGTGGGTGCTTGCCCCCGCCTCCAGCCCCGCCCTGCCCCCTCCCTGCCCCTATTGGACCCCTCCCCAAATCCCCGCCCCGGCCCTGCCTCTTCCCCGAGTGTGCCGCGTTCCTCCTCCTCCCTCCCACTTCTGCTGCGCAAAACAACTGTTTCGTGGCACAAGCGCTGGAAGGGAGGGGGAGAAGCAGGACTCGGCGGTGTGCTCAGGGGAGGAGGCAGAGGCAGAGTGGAGATGAGATGGGGCAGGGAGCTGCCGGTGGGTGCAGAGCACCCACCAATTTTTCCCCGTGGGTGCTCCAGCGCCAGAGCACCCACAGAGTCGGCGCCTATGCTTGGGGCATGTCTACACAGCAACTAGACACCCGCAGCTGGCCCATACTAGCTGACTTGGTCTCATGGGGCTCAGCAGGGGTTTGCACATCCCTCCTCCCCAAAAAAATCTCTGTGTCCCTGGCAGCACATGGAAGGAGGAAGCAGCAATGCAGCTGGTTACCAGCTGAGCTCCTCCTCCCCCCACCCCTGGAGTTTCAGCCTGTTGCTTTTCCTTCCCTGCTGCTGGAGTCCCATGCACTGCCTCTGCCTCTACCCCATTATTCACCTCAGCAGGCAGTCCACAAAGCAGGCAGCAGCCCCGGGACTTCAGCAGCAGGGAAGGAGAAGCAGTTGCTGTAGGGGTGGGGAGAGGGGGAGCTCATCCAGGAGCCAGCCATCCTGCTACTTCTCCCCTCCCCAGGCTGCAGGAACATGGAGAGTTCCACTGTCAGGGGAAGCCACTCCCTTCTCACTGCGGGCATCCCCAACAGAGGTGTCCCAAGAAATCTGGAGTGGGGTGGGGGTCATGCCCCTCCAAACATGGTCAAATTTAAATTCCTGCACATGCCCCTGGGGCTCGGGCTGTGGGGCTGTTTCATTGCTGTGTAGACTTTAAGGCTTGGACTGGAGTCCAGGCTCTAGGCCCCTGCAAGGTGGGAGGTTTTTCTTTGCTGTGTAGACATACCCTAAGGAATGGTAGAGAAAAACTCAGCTAACACCTCCTGACTAATTAATTACAGTAATTCATTAGAGTCCAAGGCATAACACTTCTGCCACTGGCCTGAAACCAGAGTGCTCAGGTCCTGAACACAAATCTCTGCCACAAAAACTTTATTAAAGCTAATGTTAAAAAATTATATAGTACACAGGTTAAAAAAATAGAGTGTCCGTACATCTGGGTATAGTGCTTAGATTATCCACAAATACAAAGTTTTTTTAAAGTCATAAGACACAATCAGCAATAACCCAAATTTAAGTGAATAAATTTAACAATACAGTTTAACTATTAGGATCCGAATACTTGTGTAAATCACTCATGAAAAGTTAGACAGAGAGTTGGTTGTGGAAAGCAAATTTAACAACGAGTGAAAAATTGCTATATTGGAATTGGAAAAGGTTCAGAAAAGGACAACAAAAATGATTAGGGATATGGAATGGCTTCAGTATGAGGAAAGATTAATAAGACTGCGATTTTTAGGTTGGAAAAGAGACAGCTAAGGAGAGATATGATTGAGGTCTATAAAATCATGACTGATGTAGAGAAAGTAGATAAGGAAGTGTTGTTTACTACTTCTTATAACACAAGAACTAGAGATCACCAAATGAAATTAATAGGTAGCAGGTTTAAAACAAATAAAAGAAAGTATTTCTTCACACAACGCAGAGTCAACCTGTGGAACTCCTTGCCAGAGGATGTTGTGAAGGCCAAGACGATAACAGGTTAAAAAAAGAACTAGATAAATTCATGGAGGATAGGTCCATCAATGGCTATTAGCCAGGATGGGCAGGAATGGTGTCCCTAGTCTCTGTTTGCCAGAAGCTGGGAATGAGTGGCAGGGGATGGATCACTTGATGATTACCTGTTCTGTTCATTTCCTCTGGGGCACCTGGCACTGGCCACTGTCGGAAGACAGAATACTGGGCTAGATGTACCTTTGGTCTGACCCAGTAGGGCCATTCTTAGGTTCTTATGAAGATTGTCCCTCCATTCTCAGTAATTGAGAATTTAGGGTAGGTTGTCCATTTAGAAAATACAATCCATGAAGAAAGTATTTCAGTTACTTTCCCCACTGCACTTCTCATCTGCACTCCAGCTCATCCCTACTGGTATTGCTGATGTCCGGTGATGTGTTCTATATAGATGTCCCTCAACCACCTGATGGCATCCAACACTGGGGTCCCTCGTGCCGACAATCAGCGTGTGTGTCTGAACCTGATAAACCTTAGTTTTCAAGGTTTTGGCCAGAGGGGTGTATTTCTCCACCTTTCGAACATGGGCGTTGTGGAAGGCCAGGGTCCTGTTCTCGAAGGGCACTGTCACGTCCACCATCATGATCTTCTTTCGGTCCTCATTGGTGCTGATGATGTCCGGTCGCAGTTGATTGTCAGTTCTGGGGATGGAGGAGTTCATGGCCACCTTCCCTACAGGTGGCAGGATGGCTCTGACTAGGTGGTCTTGGATGTCATTATGTTGCAGCTGCCAAGCTCTGGAATGGGGCTTGCAGCTACACAGGATGTGGGGTAGTGTCTTGTTGGCATAGCCACACTTCCTGCATAGCTTGTCCCAATTCCCATGGAGGATGGCTCCATTCAGCAGAACACAGTTGAGCCAGGCCCTGTGGATGAACCTCCAGTCAGCAAATTGGGTGAAGCTGCCCCCAGGGAGGAAGTGTTGCTGGTGTCCCACTTGCATGTCACCTTGAAGGCCTTGCCCTGGTCTCACTTCCATTTCAGGTTTTCCACATATTGGCAGCAGATGGCAGCTCCAGGGTCCTCTCCAGCTTGGTTCTAGCTCTCGGAGTGAGTGCTCTGCATTCTTCACCAAGACAGTAGGACTCCAGCTCCTGGCATTCCTCGCACCACATCCAGCAGTAGCCAATACGCTTCTCCAGTCATTGCGTAGTGTTGGGGGCACGAGTCCAGAGTGAAGCAAAGTCTCCTACGTCTCTTCCAAATTCACCTTCCAGTAAGTCACTCAGGTAGGTGGCGACATCTTGGTTGGAGGGGGTCCTTGCGATTCGCTTCTTGAAGACATCCTGCATAGCACTTTCTGCGATGTTCCTGACTATGGTGTCCGGGCATATCAGAAGGCAGAAGGCATGAGTGATCACCATAGTGTCGCAGAGATCACCCCTACGAAGGATGCTGGCACTGCCCTGCTTTTGTGTGATATACACCAGTTCATTGCTGGCTCTCTGGGGAAGAAACATCCACTTCTTCACTGATGTGCCTGATGGTGTTGTCTGCCTGTTGTCTACTACACTGAAACTTGTCATGCTTTCACCGGACAAAGGCCAATACTAGGATCTCCAGAACAGGTGACAGCACCTGGAACACTTAGAATACACTTCATGTGGATGTGCATTTTTATTTATAGAGCTCAGCACTTGCAACTATTCTGGTCACACACATACACACCAAATAGTTTTCCAAACACTTTATGCACTTCCTTTTTATTCTCATCCAGTTACCTCAATTAGCACCTAGTTAGCAACACGCCTAAACTGACTTAGACAACTGTAAAGCAGGATTTTTAAAACATCGATTGCACATACAATTTTTAGTTATTTTGTAGCCAATATCAAAGATTTTAATAAACTTGTTCCATTTGGGGTCATTTTCTGTTTGTTATTTATACAGGAACTTTTTTAAAGTAAGTATGCTACATTTTCTAGAAAAACCCACAAACCTGTTAAAATTTTTGCTTTCAAAATTTAAAATTTCAATCCACTAAGATTAATTTTCACCCTGAAATATGCAAAATTTCTGAAGTTGCAAGTTTCAATGCCCCACTGCCATTTCATGAAAAAGGTGTGGATGAAATTATGAGCTGCAACGTGAGCGAAAATGATTCCATGTGCAAGCGTGTGTGAAATTTTTGCAAAATATTATCCACTATTTTCAAAAGATGTTATAATAATAAATTTATTCTTGAGTATTATTTCATGGACTTTAATAGACTATCTACTCAGTAATATTTTAAACATGGCATTCAACTTTTGCAGTCATATTTTCATTTAAAAATATTTGTATCTTAAAATTAACATGATGGTAAATTCCATTTTCCTATTGGAAAAACTCATAGCTGAAATAAGGTAAACTGCATGTTTGCAAAATCAAATGTCTACAAAAGTTTTAATTATTTTTAATATTATTGTTTAAATAGTCTTCATGTTTTCCCAATATTGCTATTTGGCTAACGTGCGTGTTTATTCTCATCTGTACAAATGTTTAAGATTGCATGTTCTACAGATACAACCATGTGACTCGGAGTCAGGTCTTCCTGAGTTCTGTTACTGTACTACTAGACTGGCAGTGTGACTGGGAGCAGGTTCTTTAACTTTTTTCTGCTTCAACCGAAATGGGGATATTACTTATCTCCCAAACATGGGTGTTTTAGAAGATAATTAGACAAGGGCTGACATTTTCGAAAGTTCCATAGTGACTTAGGAACCTAAGTTCCATTTTCAAAAGTCACTTTGGCACTTCAGAGCCTCTAGGCATGTATGCACAAAAGCTGTACTGCTTTAATTATAGCAACAATATTAAAGAGGTACAAACCACTCCCACCCCAGTGTGGATGCAGTTAAATCAGTTTAAATATGCTTATACGGGGGAAGCTTTATTCCCAGACAGAAAGAGGAATAAACTATACCGGTATAAAAGGCACCTTGATACAAGCACAACTGTGCCCATGCTAGTATCAGTAAAATATAAAACGTGTAACAGATAACATCATACTAATATAACAACAGTGTGTAGACCAGCCTAAGCCCCATCAAATTGAAAATCGGACTTAGGCTCTGAAGTCACTTTGGTGCTTTCAAAAATATTACCCAATGTCCATAGAGCACTTTGAAAATGCTTTATAAAGACTGGAGCAGATCCTCAGCTGATGTATAGCAGTACAGTTAAGTTGAAGTCAATGGAGCTATGCTAATTTACAGCAGCTGAGGATCTAGCCTGCAAAGTTTTAATAGTGTTATCTTACCTTTTGTATGTAGTGCTGTCTGTGTATTTGCATAGATATTGTCACCACACAATCCTTCACCCCTGCCAGTTCCCCCTCTCCCTCTTTTAATGATTATATTTCCTGTGTGGTCTTTCTGAATGATTTAAAGATGTTCCCTGATTTTGTTTGTTTGATATGCTGCTTGTTCTTGTAAAATGTCAAAGGGAACTTCAACCAATCCAGCTTTACAGGCAGCAGGTGGAAATGAATAAAACTGCTGCTTCTCTGAAAATAAGATGACATCTTTTGGCTGCTGCCCAAGCTGCTCTCCAGCTGTGGCCATAAGCTCTGTCCCAACACAGGGCAGTGCAGAACGAGGTTTAAATGTTGACCCAGCACTTGCAAACCATCTTTGAGTCCATTTCAGAAGTGTTCAGGGTTTTGATTTATAATTTTTGCTGTATAGCTTCAAGTTTCTTCTGTACAACATTGCTTAAGAGAGAGATATTTGTTGAATTATTAGAATTCTCTTTGGTTTTGTGCACTAGTAATCCTGCACTTAAATTAAATCCGGTGCTGACCAGAGCTGCTAGGATCCCTTTTCGAGTGCGGGAGGGGGTTCTGTTCTGGGGCAGCGGGGTTGGGGTGGGGTGGGGGGGCTCTGGCTGGGGGTGCAGACTCATGTGGGGCTGGGGCTGAGGGGTTTGGAGTGCAGGAGGGGGCTCCGGGCTGAGACTGAGGGGTTTGGAGTGCAGGACGGGATGTGAGGACTCCAGCTGGGGGTGCAGACTCTGGGGTGGGGCTGGGGATGAGGCGTTTAGGGTGCAGGAGGGTGCTCCAGGCTGGGACCAAGGGGTTCAGAGGGTGGGAGGGGGATCAGGGCTGGGGCAGAGGGTCGGGGCCTGGGAGGGGGTCAGGGGTGCAGGATCCTAGCGGCGCCCCTATGCATAGGAGCCAAAGCGGGGACATGCCGGCTGCTTCCCAGGTGCTGCACGGCACAGAGGCTAGCAGGGAGCTCGCCAGCCAAGATGCGCAGCACCACCAACCGGACAGTCAATGGCCCGGTCAGCGGTGCTGACCAGAGCCGCTAGGATCCCTTTTCGACCAGGTGTTCCGGTTGAAAACCGGACACCTGATTACCCTGCTCTTCAACCATGATCTCACACAACAGCTAAGTACCACATTTGATATTAGGGCCTTTACAGGAGTTGGACTAATTGTACAGCATTCTCAATGAAATGCAAACCCCACCTTTACAACCAGCTTTCCTGCAACAGTACCAAAACATGCATCCAAACTTCACATTTCCATATTTGAGGGCTTTTAAAAAACAAACAAAAAAACCCCAAGCCAAACAAAAAGAAGAACCTAAACCTCTCTCTTGCTGGCACGCAGAGGAAGAGAGGGATCTTGGTGCTGTCATTTTTTTCTCTTGGGACAGGCAAGCACTCAGATAATAGTAATAGGTGCCAATATAGGAACATAAATAAGCTGATAGGTTATTATGGATAATCTTAATAAAATTGACAAGCACCTATGGTGGTAACTACATTGGGCTGCTGGGGGAAACAAATCTTAATGCTTCTGTTGTAATAATTGGGCCTACAAATTCACCCTAACTGAGAGTTCAACTGTAAAAAGTGAGTGCAAGTTTATGTAGTGTCACAATAACATGTATTCCCATAACAATAAATGTTAATGGGAGAAGGTGCAAAAGGCAGATTAAAATACTAGTTTAGTCCAAACAAAAAAGGCATCTTGATATAATTCAAGGACTGTATTAAAATTAAAATCATGCCTGTTGAATAAGAGCAGTAGAAGCTTGGAAATCAGTGAACCAAAGTTGGCATACCAGAGATTAGGCCTGACTGATGGACAAAATAACAGGGAATGGGCTTTTCTATCCTTTTTAGGGTCCTTAAAATAAGAGAGACTTTGAGAGGAAAACTGGTGAAGAGGAAGCGAAGGGGGACAATTGCTGACTGAAAGAATGGGAAAGAGCAAGCTTCACCATTACGGCTGCCACCTGCACCATCTCCTCGGACCCACTATAACATCATTGGGCCTTCATTGTCCTGTTCCCAAGAGATGTCTTCACTGGAACATGCCAAGAGAGGGACCCAGATGACATCTCCATGGACTATGGCAGAATCGCAGCTACCACCTGAGACATAACACACACACACACTCTCTCTCTCTCTCATGTACATCCACCATGTGTCCTTTTCTTTCCCCACCTTTATTTTTTTTCTTTTCTCTCATTCTCTCTCTTTTTGCCTTCTATTTAAGAGTGTGGCTTAGTTGGCCAAGACTATGTATTTTGCACACTGCTGTAAGGCTGTCATCAGAGAGGCAACCAAAATAATACCCTAAGCAGTCCGATGCTGGTACAAGTTTGTCAGGTCTAATAGTGGCTAATAAGATCGTGTGCTATGCCTGTGTTTTTCTAGTAGTGAGGTTGCAAGTGAGAGTCAGTACTAGAAACAGAAGCTGCATTTTCTGTCTTTGCTTGTCTTTTCTTTCCCCTTTTGTGTGTGTTTGTTTTGTCTTGTCTTTAGGAGATAGGATTGGATTTTAACAGCAACAGCCATGACAGCTCCAGCCCATCTCAACTAACTTCTTCTCTTTTCTCTAAAAAGTGTTATCACCATCTTTAATACCATCTGGAGACTGTCAGCTAAGTGGCAGTTACTGCTAAAAACTCTCTCCAGCTGAAGAAAAAAGGAACAAGGGATGTTGTTAAAATGAAGACCTGACTTAATACTTTACATTTCAGTTGCTTTAACTCTTTTTTCCTTCTTTTTCTGTATCTTAAATAAAAGGTGACCAAGATTTTTAATGGCGTGTTTGCTATGGTACTAAGCAGGCTGTGTCTATATACCAAACCATGAACGTTGTTGGACAGTTACAGGGTTATATTAACAACTTCAACTCTTTGGACCATTTATTCCATCTAAACTAATATCACTCTTATACCACTAACTAGGTTCCACCAGTGGTAGAAAAAATGGGAGCAGTAGTGTAGAAATGATTCCAACAGCTGCTGGTGTATTCAACAATTTCCTGGTCCCACTGAAAGCCAATGGGCGTTTTGCCATTGATTTCAAAGCAGCCAGAATTTCACGCTGGAACTTTGTCTACACTCCATCGTTGCTGCTACAGGTGCAGTGGAACTTGGGAGTAGTAACAGTGAATAATTTTAGCAAAAACTTTTATTTCTCTTTGTGTTTTTATTAATCTTAGCCTATTGGCCTTTTTTAGTTTTTGACCCTCATCGGTTTGCTAGTAATACAGAGCCTGATGGATGCCTATTGACATTTTCAAAAGTGAATATATACCTAGACAAATTCAGAATGGAAATAAGGTGTACATTTTTAACAGTGAAAGCAATTGATCATTGGAACAACTTACCTAGGGTTGTGGTGGATTCATCACTGGCAATAGTTAAATCAAGACTGGATTTTTTTTTCTAAAATATATGCTTTATGAATTATTTTGGAGAAGTTCTATGGCATATGTTATACAGGCGATCAGACTATATGATCACTGTGGTCCTTTCTGGCCTTGGAATCTATGACTATCATTAAAAAAACTCGCATTGACTTCAGTGGGTATTGGATCAGCCCTCTGGTGAATATATTCCTATTTGTTTTGTTTTTTTATCCTATCCTATTTCATTTTTCAAACTCTCACCTATTTTCCATTTTTGTTTCTTAACTGGTGACTATTTATTTAGAAGTGAGACACACTCCACATCCTATTTTCAGTCCTTTGAATGATCCAGTCCCAGTTCTTGCAAAGAAATGTACATTGTACCTTATATGCATGCTTCTATTACTGTATAGGCAGATATACATCCACCTGTTATGAAAATATCCAACCCGATTGCAGCGATACCAACAGTGCCTGCCTCTCAAGGAGCTAAGCCTCTCTGTACTCTGTATTAAAATATTGAAATTGGGGTTTTTTTAAGCGATTCTTTGATATTTTATTGTATAACTGAAATTATGTCTTTATTGGAAAGGAAAGAAGTAGCAGACATTTCCCACGCTTGGTTAGGATGTTGTAGAGTAGTAGCATTTGGGGGTGGGTGGAGAGAGAGGTGTTTTGTTTTGTTTGTAATAGGTGGCAGTAAAGAGAACCATTTGGCTGTCATGTTATCTGCCTCCAGTGTTTCAAGATTACTGGTATATTGCTTCAGGGCATTTATGTTTAAAAAGCTCAGTGGAGCAAAAGATGATAAGAAGGCATACAAAGATTAATTTTGAAGTTCTCGTTAAAAACCAAATGCTGTAATCCTGGAAATGAGAAAAATCTCTTTTCCTTGCACATTTAGCTGTGCTCATCTTCAAAATTACTATGATGACATGGCATATCTGGAAAAAAATATTTTAAAAACAATTCCCTTGACAGTATTGGGTTACAATTCACATAATGTGAGCGTTGTATCTGTCACAAGTCAACAGTTCTTTATTGGAACTGATCAGTATATGGGTTTCAGGATTAACTTGATGAAGCAAAAATACTGAGTGAAAACATTATGAATCATAGGGGGAAACAATATTTTGTTGCTTCTTTCCTTCTCCAGTTAATGATTTCAGTAAATCTGGAACAACACTGCTGAGAGCAGAACCTGGCCCACATTTATTTATTATTTGAAATTACTTACTTTTTCTTTTTAACTAGATAGATTGATCACAAATGGTTCTCTCTAATGTATTCAATATTTACTATTTGAGCTAAAGCTTGTAATCAGAGGAGCATGCAAAAACTTCCAATGTCAATACTTATACATGCCTATTTAAAATTTTTCATGAGTAGAATCATATAAGTGTTGGGCTGGAAGAGACCTTATGCAAGAAGCAAGATTAAATATACCTAGACCATCCCTGGCATGTGTTTGTTTAACCTGTTCTTGAAAGGGAGAATTAGATTAGATATTAGGAAAACATTTTGAACTTTAAGGATAATTAAACCCTGGAACCGGTTACCTTGAGATGCTGTGGAATCCCTATCACTGGAGGTTTTCAAGAACTGATGTGAACATGGCAGAAACAATTTCATTTAAAAATATGAGCAAATACTCACAGAACATTGTTGAGTTCACCCAGTTCTTCTGCAATGAAAGATGTCACTACTAGATACAGAGGCCCAGAAAAGGACCTATTGGGTCCTGTGCCAGTACTCCATTCCCCAGGGACTAATACAGAATTCAATACAGTATATTTTCAAGTGCTTCAGATGGTCTAGTCATAAATGTTTCCAGATACTGGGCCTCTAACACTTCCCTTGTGAAACTGTTCTTACTCTAATAGATCTCTGTGCAGCTCCCTAATCCTTTTGTTGGGGTGCAGGTTTCCACATGCTGAACCAAGTTGTTTTCTGAATAGGTATTATTCCTGTTTTATGATTGGGAAACTGCAGCACAGAAAGGTTAAATGACTTGCCATTCACAGAGGAAGTCAGAGGCATAATGGAAAATGGAAGCCAGATCCCCTGACTCAAAGTCTTGTTTCCTGTCCTTCATTCCTAGAGCATCCATTGCACTCTCCTTATCTTCTAAGCCATCCATTCTGACAACTGAATCCATATTACTGCGTACGTAATAAAGTTCAATCTTTTAATTTCCTTCTGCATATTTGGTCATTTCAAAGGCTTAACCTAAACTTCAAAGGATTCCCTTTGAAGAGTTGTACAGGGAGAGACAGCTGAAGGGAACTCATTCCCCTTCCAGGGGAGTTTGGGTGAAGCGTTGTGACCATCATTTCCTTTAGCTTTACAGTGGGCTGTCCCCACAGGGAGCCTTCCTGAAGACATAGCCTGCAGCTTCCTTACAGAGTTGCATACCTGGGTAAAGCCACGAATAACATTTTGAACCATTATGTTAGATGCAGATATTTGTCAAAGGCACACACCTTAAAATGATGTTGTAAAATTAGAGCAGTGTTAATTTCAATGAAATCTAACCTAAGCAAAGAAGAGCCCTTTAGCTTAAACAGTCTTTGATCTGCTCCTCCCTCGCTCCCCGGAAATATCTCCTGGTCCCCACTTTGTACTTTTTAGAACTCCCTCAGCCTTTACACAGTTGTTCTCCTCTGCTTTTTGCTCTCACTAGTGTATTGCCAGCAGCAGTCTAAGAGCCAAGCAGCTCCCCAGGAAACAAGAATGTGGGTGGCCTGGATCCTGACTCCTAAAAAGCTCTTGTGGAAAGAACCCAAAATACCTGCACAACTAGGGCAGGCCCCACCACACAGCAGGAATCAGAACAGAAAGGCAGAGCACTTGAATAAGGACCTGTATGACCCTCCTTCCTCCCCTTCCAGCTGTACTGATTTCAAGGTTTTCCCCTCTCATTATCTCTGTTTCTGATTATTTTCCCCAGGATGTATTAGCTTTTTTCCAAACTGAAGCTTATGGTCATATTTCCTATCAATGGTTCTGATCCTGCAATACATTTCACATGGGCAGATCTCTTTTCCCACATAGAGCCCTACTGACTCAATGAGCAATGCAGTGCAGGATTGTGGTATATTGTTGACATCTCTAGGTTGCAGTATATTAATTCTCTGTCTTCATGTAGATGACAAAAGCTCCCAAGTTAGTATAATCTGCAAGTGTGATTAACATGCAATTTACTCCTCCTGCTATAAAGATACTAAATAAGACCAATGCACTAAGCCCTTTCACATCTGACTACATTGCACCTTTTCCCAACCCAGTACAGTATGTTGCTATTTACCTTTTGTTTCATTCCATCAGACACAGCTCATGTCAAAGCCAATCTGAATGTATTTTGTGAGCAAGAATTCATAAAAGTCTATCAAATGCCTTGCTAAGATCCGTGAGCCAAATTCAGCTCTGATGTAACAAATGCAACTCTTATTGACATCAATGGGAGTTACACCTGCTTACACCTGGGCTGAATTTGGTCTTGTATATTAGCACCAACTGCTTTCCATTTCTCTACTAACTTGGCAATTCTACCAACAAAAACTATTCTTTATACACCCTTGCTGCTTATTACTCATAGTTCAGTCACAGTAGACCTTCACCTCTTAATATTTGTTTCATTATTTTTGTAGGGATTGAAGTAGATTTACTGGATGGTAATTGCCTGGATCATTCTTATTTCCCAGAGACTGTCATTTTTGCTTTTATCCCAATCTTGTAAAAAATAATGGTCAGATGCTTGGTAATATGCTTAGTTCACACCTGAACATCCTAGGATGCACATCATCCAAATGAAGTGGTTTGTGCATGTTACCATTAATCAAATATTCTGTCTCCGGCTTATGTTCACACAGCTTTCACTATTTTCCTAATTTTCTAAACTTCTCTATTTTTTATTGATTTTTTTCTTTTCAAAAATAAGGGAAGAACAGAAAAAAGGATAAAGGACAAAAAAGTAAAAGAATGGAAGGGAAAGAAAGGAAGGAAGGGGAAAGGAGAGTGACATCACAGTTTCCATCTGCTAAGAATTAATCGAAGGTTTGTAAAATGGTAGACTAAATCTTTTCAAATTTGTCTGAGGTCCCCCTTCTCCAAAATGTTACCCACTCTTTACCTTCTAGGTCAGCCAAGTTGCTCAGCCGAGCTTCTATCCCCGAAGGCAATTTGCTCTTCCATCGAAGCAATATGAGTCACTTGGCTACAAGCACTACAGTCTGTGAGTTGGCGAGTTTCCAAGGTGATGGGACATATCCCAAAACACAGTTCTGGGAAATAATTTTTAAGGAGGTGTCCATGATTATAGTAGTCCTCCTGTCTTTTACTAGCCAAAGGATTGTTTCCTGGGATGATCTCAAAACATGTGAGTCAGTATGGCTCCAGGCAACCCATACCTCCAGCAGCAGTCTGTTTTGGCAAGTGTGAACAAAATATATTTTTTTGCTGGATCATCCTTAATCGTAGATCAATAGAACTGTTTCTAATGTTTTGCAAGACACTTCCCCATTGGCTAGGGTTCCAGGATATACACAAATCTTTTTCCAGGCTTGGTGCAAACAGGGGAGGCCTTTGGGACCCAGAAGCCTTAACAGTTACAGCTATGGAGCTCTCTCCACATCAACAATAATTCTGGACTCTCTGTTGCTCTCTTGTGCATCAGAATCAAATATGTCCTTCAAGAGATGCTTAAACTGCAGATAATGCCATGCAGCTAGACCAAGTAGAATGTATTGTTGCTGCAGGGCTTGGAAGGACAGAAACTGATCATCTGAGATCAATTAAGAGACCCAAATTATCCCCTTAGCCATCCACTCTCTCACATTAATGGTATCTTGTTGATTTTCATAAATGTGCTTCCCCAAAGTACAGCATCAGTGTATAAGAAGGGATGGAATTTAAATGTTCTAGACAAAGTGGCCCGTGTTT